TTGGTAGCCCAGGCTGGCCTCGAACTCACAGAGATCCGCCTGCCTCTGCCTCCCGAGTGCTGGGATTAAAGGCGTGCGCCACCACCGCCCGGCTTTTTTTTTTTACTTTTGAGATAGTCTTTTGTAGCCCAGGCTGGCCTCTGCTTCCACCTTCCAAGTGCTGGGATGATAGGTGTGTGTCGCCCCAGGCAGATTGTGGATAGTTTTTCTGATTGTGTCTGTCTGAGTGTGAGGTGTTAGCTCATGGTTTTGATTTCTTTTCCGAAACAGGGTCTCATGCAGCCAAGGCTGACCTTGAACTGCTGGTCTTTTTGGCTCCTCTCCTAAGCACTGTTTGTAGGTGTGCACCATCGTGCCTGGTGGCTTCCCAGTTCCTTTGTTTGTTTTTCAAGACAGGGTTTCTCTGTATAACGGTCCTGGCACTCACTGAGATCCACCTGCCTCTGTCTCCCAAATGCTGGGATTGAAAGCGTGCACCAATACCACTTAGTTCTTGATGGTGTCTCTGCAACACAAAAATTTAAAATTTTGATGGAGTGCAGTTTATCTATTTTTTTTATAGATTTATTTATTTATTTAGTATACAGAAGAGGGCGCCAGATCTCATTACAGATGGCTGTGAGTCACCATGTGGTTGCTGGGAATTGAACTCAGGACTTCTGGAAGAGCAGTCGGTGCTGCAGTCGGTGCTCTTAACCTCTGAGCCATCTCGCCAGCCCCAGTTTATCTATTTTTTAAATTTTATTTTATTACTTGTGCTTTTAAGAAACCACAGCCTAACCAGGCGGTGGTGGCACATGCCTTTAATCCCAGCACTCGGGAGGCAGAGCCAGGCGGATCTCTGTGAGTTCAAGGCCAGCCTGGGCTACAGAGTGAGTTCCAGGACAGGCGCAAAGCTACAGAGAGAAACCCTGTCTCAAAAAACAAAAACAAAAAAGGAAAGGAGGGAGGGAGTGAGGAAGGAAGGAAGAAAAATAAAACACAGCCCAAGTGAAGGTCCTGAAGCTGTGTTTGTGTCTTCTACTAAGAATTTGGTGGTGTACAGGTCTTTATCTGTTTGGTGTGAGGCAGTCTTTCAGTGCTGGTCTTTTGAGTGTTGACGCCCATTTGCCCCAGCACCACTTACTGAAAAGAGAATCGCTTTTGTTGCGTTGTCTTGACGCTCTTGTACAAATACCTTTGCAAATGAAAACAATTTTTGTTTGTCTCCAGCTTCAATTTCTTCTCTGTTCTGTTCTGTACCTTGTACTATAAATTTATAAAGAAGGGCAGAAAGTAAAAACTCACTTTGAACTAGGAGGCTCATTCTCCTTTATTTTTGAAGTTTTCAGATAGCGGCCTTAAAAGGGCATTGTTTTTATGTGGAAAAACTATTACTATTATTATTATTATTATTAATTTTCAACAGGCCCTGCCTGCCCTAGAACTTGCTATGTAGACCAGGTTGGTCTTGAACTCAGAGATCCGCTTACCTTTGCTTTACAAATGTTGGTATTAAGGGTGTGCACTACTATACCCTGCTTAAAAACAATTCCTGTCAAAACAATTAGGTGCTGCTGTCAAAACTGTTGGGTCTGTAAATAGGAGTTCTGCCATAGAAGGAAAAAATTGAGACCCTGTTAGAGTTCATTAAGATAAAGCATTGTAATTCATATCATTGGCAATTATTTCAAAGTGACATTATTATAAAAGTCAATTTTTTCTTGTTTCTAGCTTGTTTTTATTGGACATTTTTACTGTTTTGTCTGTGGACAGGGACTTGATGCTTGATGACCTGGGGGCTGCCCACACTGAAAGGTGCTTTTTTCCTTTTGCAGCAGAAAATGCAGCAGTGCATAAAGGTGTATGTTTAGTCTGAGCTTATGGTTTACAGCTGAACAACTTAGGTGAGGGATGTTTGTGTAGTATCTTTCATTAGCGTGGACATGGACTGTGTTCTTCTGGCAGAACTTAGAAACGTGATCTTAGATCATCACAGTATTGAGGAATAATAATATACAAATGTTTTGCCGTTTTCCTGTGACAATGTAAATGGTAGAAGGTACATTGACATGTTTGTCCTAAAGAGTATACACTCTCAGTCCCTCAATAAATCATGAAGATAGCATTATTTGAGACATGTACAGAATATCATATGCTGGCATGTGAGCTTTGAGACTGCTTTATTAGTTTGAGCCAATATTGTGTAAATAGACCTGTCTTCCCTAAATTCAGTTTTCATCACCTTTTAAACAAATAGCCTCACCCATTTTTATACAAAATCCTTATTAGTAATAAAGGGGAAATATCAACTTTAAATTGGAGAAACTGGACAAATGGCATTAACTGAGGGATTGGAATTAGCAGCACCTGTGTTGAAACAAAGTGACATAATGTAGCTAGGGAGGGCAGCCCTGTTTTGTGATGCCAACATCTGAGAGTCGGAGGAGAAGTTGTCCTTGGATATATAGGATGTTCAAGACCAGTCTGGGCTTCATGAAACTTTTCTCAAACAAACAAAAGCAGACATTATATGCTTCCTAATATGGATACACTGAGAAAAACACAACTTCATTTTTGTAGTGTTCTTGCTAAAAATGTATAATCCTAGTAAAGTATCAGACAAAACAAAATTAAGGGACATTATTGACCTGTGTTCTTGAAAACTTTAGTTGTAAGTTAGTTTAAATCCACCCCAGACTCTCAAACGTACTTTTTTTTTTTTTTTTTTTTTTTCTGATTTTTGTTTGTTTGTTTGTTTTTTGGTTTTTCAAGACAGGGTTTCTCTGTGTAGCTTTGCGCTTTTCCCGGAACTTACTCTGTAGCCCAGGCTGGCCTCAAACTCATAGACATCCACCTGCCTCTGCATCCCGAGTGCTGGGATTAAAGGCGTGCGCCACCACTGCCCGGCGTACTTTTAAAAAAAAAAAAAACGAATTTACTTATTTTTGGGACAGAGTCTGTATTTGTAGCCTAGGATGACCTAGAACTTGTTATGTAATCCAGGATGAGCTTGAATTCTTGATCCTTTTATCTCAGCTTCTCGAGTTCTGGGGTTGAAGACAGGTGTTGCTACCATCATGCCATGACCTAACATTCTTGGTACATGTGAAGCTCATTTAAGTGCTTGTCTGTCTTAAACGTTTTCCTGACTTGTTTCCCCCAGAGTGAATGTAAGTTATTAAGGAAAAGTGAGAAATTAAGTTTTCTGACTTTTGACAGGATTCATGGCCTATTATAAAAACCAAAGCAGAGCTTGAGAACTACAAAGGAGTCTGGTCTTGGTTTATACTTGTAAGTCAGAGGGCGGAGGCAGGAGGATTTAGAGTTTGAGTTGGTGTGGGTTTGTTGGAGCATCTAATCTCCACACACTCCAGTGAGGTAAATGCCTGAACAGAGCAGATGTGGGCTGTGGTGGTGGCCAGCTAGGCTACCGCCGCCATACTTCTCTCAGATTTATTGAAGCCACAGGCGCTTGTACCACTGTAAGTGACTCTTCCCAGAATTCCCTGCTGCTGCCCCAAATCCAACTAGTGCTACCATTGTGGTAGTGACAAAGTCCTGCAGTCAGCAGCTAGTCTCCTCCTCTCTTCTGCGTCTCTCTCCTGTTAGACTTATGTCAAGAATCCAGTTCAGATGACTTCCAGAAGTTCAGTGTAGGGAGGAAGAAACAATTTTGCATCTAATCTATTAATCCCATGTTTTTTTTTTTGTTTTTTGTTTTTTTTTTCTCCTTTTCGAGACAAGGTTTCTCTGTGGAGCCATGGCTGTCCTAGAACTTGCTCTGTAGCCCAGGCTGGCCTCTAACTCACAGTGATCTACCGACCTCTGCCTCCCTAGTGCTGGGATCAAAGGCCTGGGCCACCACTGCCTGACTGGCATGTTTTCTTGACACAGAAAAGGTTGAAAGCTCTCCAGTTGATAGGTTGCAAACCCACTTTTGTTCAGATGAGATTTCTAAGTCTGAGGGGTGGAGGACGTGTGTAGCTCAGTTGGCAGAGTGCTCACATGCACGAAACCTTGGGAGCGTCAGTCCAGAGCCCCATATAATGGGGACATGACAGCACATGCCTGGAATCCCAATACTGGGCAGGTAGAGGCAGGAGAGTCATAAGTTCACAGTCACCCTCAGCTGTATAGAAAGTTGGAGGCCAGTCTGAGTTAGATACCCTGTCTGAAAAATAAACAAAAATGTGTAAGTTTAGTATTTCCACTTGGCAGATACATCAATCTAAGGATTTTGAGATAATGCAATTCAAAAGTAAGACAGGGCTGGAGAGTGAGCTCAGTGGAAGAACACTTGGTTAGCGTGAACAAGGCCCTGGGTTCAATTCTTAGCACTGAAATATGAATAAATGGGTTCATGCAAGATAAACCATACCTAAAATTAATTTCTATCTTAAGACAGTCTACATTTTAGCATGAGTTATAGAGTTAGGGTAAAAAGTGTTCTTTTAACTTTTTTTTTTTTTTTTTTTTTTTAGGCTGGGTCTTAAACTGGTCTCAAACTCAGTATGTAGACCTGGCTGGCTTTGAACTCATGATCATCCTATCTCAGCCTTCCATGATTACAGATATGAGCCACTGTGTCTGGTTTAGTGAGCATTGTTTTTAAGGCTAGAAGTCATAGCAAGTATATTGCTCGTGGTTATAAAAAACAGAAAGTTTTTAGGTTAATTCTTGGAATTAGTGATTATTTCACATTAAAATTATTTTAGTTCTAGAATTGTTTTATTATCTGACCAGACATATGGGTAGGTGGAGATTTCCTTTATCTTTGAGTCTTTTTATATTTCTATACTATGAGGGACTCCTTAATAAAGTAGATGGTTTATTTGTGCAAGTAATGGGTTCCTCAGGGACTACCTATGAGTTGCTCTCCCTGGTGCTGTGGGGGTCACTGCCTTTCACCCCTCTTGAATGAATGCCTCAATTACTTCCAGATTATAGTCATCTAAAAGGAATCTTTTAGGCTCACTCAAAGGACTGTTAACATCTCTGACAATTTCATGTTTTGGCAGGTAAACCTAGCCTTTAAGCAGCCTGGAAAGAGGCTAGAACATCAAGGAATTAGAATTGAATTTGTAGGTCAAATTGGTGAGTTTTAAAATAGTATTCTTTTTTCCTTTGATGACTGAAAAGGGTTGGATTTAGTAGTTAAATAATTGAATTAGAGCTTAGCTTTATGAAAAGAAGAAACTGATTATATGTAATAAAAGAGGACCTAGTATTGTAATCATGCGTCTCAGTTGTATTTAATGATATGTGACTCATTCTGCCTTCGTTCTTAGACTCTGCTATTAAAAATTGAAGGGGTTATGTAAAGTACCAGCCTTGAAACATAATCCCATTGTCTCCCATCTGCCTTCCGTTTTCATCAGCCTTACTCACAGCCACCACCTTCACCTCGGTCTTTCCTTTTAACTGCCATGTCCTTGGTCTCCTGAGCTCGTGTCTACCTGGAGCCAGATTCCTCTGAACAGAAAATCCCACATAAAAAGGAAAGGAGTAATTTCCTCTTCACTTAGATCAGAGTGTGTACATTTCCATGTGGGTGCTTTGGAGACACTCGAGTTCGCAGAAAGCAAAACTACACATCCCTCTTTTGGAGTTGGAGAGTCAGGAAAGGAAGCATGGCTTACTAAGACTCTCCATAGCTAGGTTTAAAATCTAGCTCATTGTTATTGTACTTTTTTAAAGTACCAAAGCTGGGATGGTGGATATTTATATATCTATTATGGATAATGCTGTACTCAGGAGCAAGTTATAGAAATTAACTGGGAGTTGGTGTTATTCTTTTGTGCATGGCAGTTTTATCAAAGTAATATATTTGTCTAATAAAACAGAATTGTTCTTAAAGGGAGGATTGCTCAGATGACTACTGGGGAGTGTCAGCTTCGTATTAGGAAGTACAACTATGTGAAAGGAATGAGACTTTTCTATCAGAAGTTGTCTTTGTGCCAGACTGGAGTTTATTTATGCCCAAGTGGATGAAATGAGGGAATAAAATCCAGATTATAGCTCTAGATATTAAAATAGAAGCATAGTTAGCTAATTTCTCTTGGTTAAAAATTTTTTTTATTTGTTTAAGCGATAGAAGCTTGGGTTTTATTGACTTGGATAATAAATATAATTGGTCTTTTTGCTGTTTTAAATTTCTTAGAACTTTTCAATGACAAGAGTAATACTCATGAATTTGTAAACCTAGTGAAAGAACTAGCCTTACCCGGAGAACTGACTCAGAGCAGAAGTTATGATTTTGAATTTATGCAAGTTGAAAAGCCATATGAGTCATACATCGGTGCCAATGTCCGCCTGAGGTATGGATGTGTATTAGAAATTATAACAGAATCAAAACTGGAAAACCATGCTGCTACTGCCGATGTCTTTATATAAACTTGTAATTACTGTTCTGGAGTGGAAGACTTAAGATTTAAAATATTCTGTTACATACTTTGGTTCACCTGACTGACTGATAATGATTTAAAGTAATCATGGCTATTACCATAATGGATTCAGAGATGTTTCAGTTTTACTTTGTATTAATTATCAGTATTAGTTCAGATCTTTAGTTTCCTGATGAACCTCATTCAGCATATGAATAGTTAAGAAGAGATAACCCGGCTGGGTGGCGCACACCTTTAATCCCAGCAGAAGCAGGTGGATCTCTGTGAGTTTGAGGCCAGCCTGGTCTACAGGTGGAATTCCAGGATAGCCAAGGCAGTTACACAGAGAAACTCTGTCTCCAAACACACACACACACACCAAAAAAAAAAAAAAGAAGAAGAGGAAGAGCTAATCCAGGGGCTGAGTGCACAGGGCAGAACTGAAGTAGGGTCCAGTTTTCTTTACCCTTTGTCTTTTTATTCTGTGGGTGGGCACCTGCATGCCACTGTGCGCATACAGAGGTCAGAGGCCAATGTCCAGTTGGTTCTCTTTCCACCACATGGGCCCCAGGAGTTGAGCTAAGGTTTCAGGCTTGGCAGCAAATTCTTGTACCTGCTGAGCCACCTCACTGACCCCCAAATCCCATTTTCTGAATTCTCAATCTGGTGTTCTTTCCTGTAAGTCTCCATTCGGGAGGCCCAGGCGGCCTCCAAGAGGATTGAAATATTTGAGTGGTAATGAAGCAGGTCAAGAGCCCTCTGTTGCTGTTCACTTGGGGTTGGGTTTGACCGCACAGAAGACAGAAGCTGACACGGGTGCCTTGACTAGAGTTGAAGAAACAGCAGAACCCAAACAGTGATAGGAGGGGCTTTTTAAACCGGCTGAGGATGCTCCTCTGCGGCCATTTCAGAAGAAGTTATTTGTAAAGTGGAATTTTGTATTTTCTCATGTTGGCAAAGCCAAAAGTGTAGCATAGGTAGAGTACATGCTTAGCCTGCAGGGCCTTGAATCTACTCCCTCGTACCAAACAAAGCACCCCCAAATTAGAGTCCTTTCTGAGTAAACAAATGGAGAAGTTGACACTTAGTCCCATCAAGAAGAAAGCTGGATTGGTTGACATTTGCTTACTGAAGCACCGGAATTGGACATAGGTGGTTGACTTCATCTTTCATTAACTTTGTAGGTATTTTCTTAAGGTGACGATTGTGAGAAGGCTGACGGACTTAGTGAAAGAGTACGATCTTATTGTTCACCAGCTTGCTACCTATCCTGATGTCAACAACTCCATTAAAATGGAAGTGGGCATTGAAGATTGTCTGCACATAGAGTTCGAGTATAATAAGTCCAAGTAAGTACCCGAGTGGTCCCTGCTGCGTCCCTGTGGTGAGACTCTGTGACAGAGACAGTGTTGAGCAGTGGAGACCGCGGACTTGTTCTCTGACTGCTTAAACAGTGCATGTGCATCGTTGGAAACTTATGTACACGTGAAAGGGGGGATCCCATGATTTCATCTTCACCACTAACCCACTGTTCATGTCTTCTTGTATGTCTTCCTAGAGGTAAAAAGGGGTGGCATACATGCCCTTTATGTTGTACTTTCAGACAGAGGTCTCATTTTGTTTATTGTATAATGCCTTTTCTTGTTGCGGTTGTTGTTGTTGTTGTTGTTGGTGGTGGTGGTGGTTTGAGAAAGGGTCCGAACTATGTAATCCTGGCTGGCCTGGAACTCACTATGTAGACTAGGCTGACTTTGAACTCATAGAGATCCAGCAGCTGTCTTTTTTTTTTTTTTTTTTTGGAGTGCTGGGAAAAGTACTCCTTTTTGGAGTACTTCTGGTATTGTATAATGCCTTTGAAAATTGTATTATGGAAGATGTGAAGATACCAAGGCACATGAATAATATAGTGATCAATAGAAGAAATCTTCACATAGGTATTGTCCCCTCCAATAGTTTGTTTTTAATTTGTATTTTTGAGATAAAAGTTTGCTATATAGTCCAGGCTGACCTCAAACTCATGGTGCTACTGTCTCAGCTGGGGTTTTAGGCATGTACCCACCGTACTCAGTGTCACAATAGTTACTAATACATGGTCTGATAGGTTTTATCCATACAAAGTTCTGCACTTCCCATTATATTGAATCAAATTGCAGACATTCGTAAAATTATATGATGTAAAAAAATCTCTATGCCATTATATCTAAAAGATTAATAACTCCTTAATATCATGTATCTGTTAGCATTCATATATTGCTATTTATCTTTTTTCTCTTTGTCCCTCCCTCCCTCCCCCCCCCCCCCCCCCCCCCCCCCCCCCTCCCTTCTTCTCCCCCCCCCCCAACTCATTCTGTAGACCAGACTGGCCTCGAACTCATAGAGATCCTCCTGCCTCTGCTTCCCAAGTGGTGGGATCAAAGGCGTGTGCCACCATGACCAGCTTCCTGCTGTGTTCTAAACATATTTTTCACATGGTTTGTTCAAATCAGTATCCAAACAAAGATATTCTTCAGTATATTGTATGAGGGTTTTTTGTTTGTTTTGCTTTTCAAGAAAGGGTTTTTCTGTGTAGCTCTGGATGTCCTGGAACTCACTCTGTAGACCAAGCTGGCCTCAAACTCAGAGATCTGCCTGTCACTCCCAAGTTTACATCACTGACACTGTCATACATGCCTTTGGAACTGTCCATAAAATTATCAGGCAGTTTGGAACCTAAAAAGCCGTCACTGAAGGGTTCCTTCAGATTTCTGTGTTAATCATGCATGCGTTACGTTGATACCTAGTTCTGGGAGGAAGCAGAAACTCCTCGAGTATTGTAGGGATTCTCAAGTTTATTACTTCATGATTTCATGGCCTATTTATTAATACAGTGCAGCAAACTTAACCCCTGAGGGTAGCCCCTGGGTCTCTTTGGCCAGATGGTGGGGTAGCTGTTCTGTTCCACCCTTTTCACGCTAATACTACTAAGTTCTGATAAGGACTTTAGTGTTGAAAACATACTAATATATTGTTAAGTAAACATCAAGCATATAAGATTCTAACTTTCTATTTAGTTACGCGCTTGAGTGCCCTGAAAACTAACTTTTTGGGGCCAGGCTTTTTGAGATAGGGTTTCTATGTATAGTCCTGGCTGTCCTGGAACTCACTTTGTAGACCAGGCTGGCCTCAAACTCACAAAGGTCCACTTGCCTCTGCCTCCTGAATGCTGAGATTAAAAGGATATGCCACCATGCCCAGCTATGAAAACTAACTTTTAAAGAGAGGCAATTAATTGTGCTAATTAGTCCCTCAGGTATATTTGACCACCAAGTAAAAGTTTAATTTCATATTTGCATAATGAACTGATTAATACATTAGGACATTAAAGAATATGAATAGTTGCAATGGTATTTTGAGATAGTTATTTTCCTTGAGGTAATCTATTACCTTTTTTGACTTGTCTCACTTTTTTTTTAAAACTGATAGTATGTTATACATATTCTTTCCAAATAGGTATCATTTAAAGGATGTGATTGTTGGAAAAATTTACTTCTTACTAGTAAGAATAAAAATACAACACATGGAGTTACAACTGATCAAGAAGGAGATCACAGGAATTGGTAAGTTGAAGAAAATATTTTAATTGAAATTAAAATTCCTTGTTAGTTGAAAATTTAGAAGCTTTGGATATTAACACAATTTGAAATCCACATTGGATATTGACTTTGCATTTTGGTATTTTGCTGTAATTCATGCTTTTAAAAAACAGTTCTTGAGCCGAATATAGTGCAAGGCCCTGTAGACTAAGGCCAGAGCATCACTTGAACCCAGGTGTTGAGACCAGCTTAGTTAGGAAAATAATTTTGTAATGGTACTTATAAATATCTGATTCTTTTTTCTTTTAAAGACAGGGTGTTGCTGGCCTCTAGCTTTTCTTGCCTCAGTTTCCAAGTGCTGAGACTACAGAGGTTGAAAAGGAAGCCAGGCTGGGCTATATAGCCAGACTCTGGTTCCAAACAAACAAACAGCAACTCACCTGGAAAACCTGTACTGCTAAACCACACCCTTAGCTCTTTAATAGTTTCATTTGTGTTTTTTTAAACTTACAATTGACCTCATTTTTTAGATATCTGAGTTAAAATGTCCTCGAGTTAATCCCGAAGTTTTGTATGCATGTCACTTAAGTATTCGGCTTGATGTTTTTCTCTATGTTAAAATGAACTCTATGGGCAGGTAGTTGGAGATTTGAGAGAAAACCTTGCTGCAATGTAAGCTGTGAGGTGTGTCACTGCCTTCTCTTTGAGCATAGAGCAGAAAGGATTGCAGGAGCTCTCTCTGTGAGGCTGACTCTGAACTGCATGTACCTGTGGGGAGACTGAAGCGTGCCATTGATAAGTTTAAGAACAGAATAGAACTTGGAAAAGAATGGCAGTAATTAGCTGAAACAGGACGGAGAATATTCAAATCAGTGTCGTTTCCACTGTTCTACTAGGACCCAGCACCACAACAGAAACAGAAACAATCGCTAAATATGAAATCATGGATGGTGCGCCAGTAAAAGGTAAATCAGTTTCGCTCCTCTGTTATTTTCTATTTGATGTAAGTCCTACTGCACATCTCTGCTGGTCCTATAACTTTCTCTGTAGACCAGGCTGGCCTTAACTAACTGGTGGTGATCCTCTTGCTTCTGCCTCCCAAGTGCCAGGGTTATAGGTGTGCACCACTGCACGTGGATTCATTTACTTCAAAACATTTTTTTTGTTTTGTTTTGTTTTTTGAGACAGGGTTTCTCTGTGTAGCTTTGCGCCTTTCCTGGAACTCGTTTTTGAGACCAGGCTGGCCTCGAACTCACAGAGATCCGCCTGCCTCTACCTCCCAAGTGCTGGGATTAAAGGCGTGCGCCACCACCGCCTGGCTCAAAACATTTTTTAAAGTTTATTTTTTTATGTATATATTGATGTTTTGTCTGCATGTATGTGGGCACCGTGTGCATGCCTTGTACCTGTGGAGGCCAGAATAGGGCATTGGATCCCCTGGAGCTGTAATTACAGACTGTTGGGAGCTGCTGAGTGGGTGCTGGGAAACAAACCTGGTCCTCTCGAAGAGCAGCCAGTGCTCTTAAACTGCTGAGCTCTCTCTCCAGCCCCTGAAAATCTTTTTGTACATTATTTGTGTGTGGGGAGGGTTGTGTGTTTGCAGTGGCATGCATGTGGATGTCATAGGACAACTTGTAGGAGATGGTTCTCTGCTTCTACTATGTCCTCAGGCTTGGTGGCAAGTGCCTTGATTTACTCAGCCTTCTTGAAGCCTTTAGTACTTCTTTTATGTGTGTGGATGGCAGTGTTCATAGCAGTTGAACTTTACTCTTCATTCATTGTGAAAGTATGAATTCTTAAAATGCATAATGGCTGGACATAGTAGCACACACCTTTAATCCCAGAGACAGCAGCTGATGGATCTTGGTGTGTAGTGGTATTTGTTCCACCCATGACCTTGGGCTATAGGGCTTGAAGGTGGTGCTTCCTGCTGTTGTATGTGACCTCTTAAAGGAGGAGAGAGGGGTCATGTGGTCCCTTCTCCCTGCTGCCTTCTCCCTTTTGTTTGTTTGTTTGTTTATTTTTTATCCTGGTATGATCACACTCTGGATGACCTGGGAATTAAACCTGGTTCCTCTGGAACATCAGTCAGTGTTCTCAACCACCAAGTCATCTATCATATATATATGTGTGTGTGTGTGTGTGTGTGTGTGTGTGTGTGTGTGTGTGTGTGTGTGTGTGTATGCACATATATATATATATATATATGAGGTCACGTACAACCAACCTCCTACGGGCCCTATAGCCCAAGGTTTTAGGCGGAGCAAATACCACTGCATTTCCCCTTTCTGTCTAAATAAGAAGGCTCTAAACTTAATGCAAACTATATATGATAAGAATGATTATCAAGTATTGTCCAGGAAAAACAAAGGGTAATAACATAAACAAAAATGGAACTACAACCAACAAGAATAACATCAAACAAGAAAGACATGCTAAATGTCCAGAACATAGGTAAATGGCAAATTACCAAGATTACTCCAATAGCTGTTCTATCTTGAAGACCCTAACTCTAGTACTAATATGTTCTAGCTAAGATGCAGGGAGATTGTAACTGTAACTATCTAGTCTTCAACTCCATCAAAGACCTGAGAAGGAACATAATAATACCTGAGAAAACAGAAAATGCAAGCAGACAATTTCCGAAATTCTTACGAGAATAGACGGAGACAGCTGGCAGCCTGGATAGTCACCTAGAGTTTCTCAGCATTGTCGGAGCATCCAATTTACTACAGGCCTAGAATATCTGACAGACCATTTTCAGAAGCAGGACTTTTGAAAGACCATCTTACCCTGTCTTGGCAGAGTTCAGTAGTCGCTTTTCCTTGTGTCCTGATTATCCAGAAAGGACAGCATTCATACTGTCAACAGTTGAAGCAAGGGCAGTTCTTTGCCCAGCAGGCCATTTTGTGCCAAGAAGAAGACAAACTTCCATGTGGAAATGTCTCAGAAGCCCAACGTTCTCTTGGGATCAGATCGGTGCTGTCAATAGCAATCATGTCTCACATCAACGGAATTCTTAGCTATCAAAACATGTAAATGCATATTCTCTAGGTCTGTGAAGTGTTTGAAGATTACCTATCCATCTGACGTATGTTTCTGTAAACCTGGAGAACGTAACTGACATAACTGTTGAAATGACAATCATGGGTGACTAGCTCTGTAAGTCTTTTCTACCTAAATAACCTAAGGACTAAGGCTTTATGCAAACAAGGCAAACAGTCTGTCAACAGATGTACTGTATAAGGACAATGACCTCAAAATTGTGACAATTACACAAAATATCTTAAACAGAGGTAGAAATGTATAGTGCAGTATGACAACAATACCCTTAATATGTATCAATATACAAAGTATCCTAAACAGAGGTAGAACATACATACAGTATGATAAATATAATATTACATTTGTATCAATATACAAAATATTTCAAACAGGAGTAAGAATATATATATATATAATACAACAAATATAGTTTTGTATTTGTATCAATATATGAATTATCTTAATATAATATAAGAGTAGTTTACATTTGTATCAAATATACAAGAATCCATATCAGTGCAAATTATCCAAGACTGATCATTTTCTAAATCAGTTTACTAGTAAATACAGCAATCTACCTTAATGTACTATACCTATCCATTCCCCCTTTTCTTTTCTAAAGGAGAATATTGAGTCTAAATTTTATTGTTCCACCCCCAACCCTATAACTATACATCCATAACCCTGAGAAAAATGAAACCTTTGGGAGAGGGATGTTGTTTTCTGTTGGGGACTATTGGGGTCCAGCCCCTAATAGTCTCCTTTCCAGGGTCCGCGGAAGGATCTATCAACCAGCTGATAATTAATCTTTGATGAAATGAAGTGAATCTATGTACACGAAACTCCTTAGTCCATATACTTTATTATTCTGTGACAGTTATAAGCTTATATTCTGCTCTCATATTTAGGTCATCTTTAGCCTGATTTCTCTCTACACTTGTCTTCGATCCCCT